TGCACCAGTGGGGCCCTTGGCCTGGCCTGCAGGATCAGGCTGAAACTGGCTCTATTGACATCCCCTGAGGGGTCCTGGATTGCAAGAGGGCGCAGGTCAGGCCAAGGGACCCCACCAGCACATGATTGGGGCCAGGGAGGCACACAGGAGGTTGGTCAGCTGGGGAGGGTCATGGGAGGGTGTGTCTGGCCCCTCTGGCTCAGTCCCAATCAGCCAGACCCTAGCAGCAAGCTAACCTACTAAGTGTCTGCCTCCTGGTGATTAGTGCATGTCATAGCGACTGGTTGACCAATCGACTGTCTGTCTCCTGGTGGTCAGTGCACATCATAGTGAGTGGTTGAACAGCCTTAGCATATCATTAGCATATTACACTTTGATTGGTTGAATGGACAACCAGACAACCAGGCACTTAGCATATTAGGCTTTTATTATATAGTAGGATATCGTCAAGGTCTTCTATAACATCGCGTAGCACTTGGAAAGCAGTGTTTGCTTTGTTAATCACATACTAATGAAGAAAATGCTACGAATTTGCAGGAAGATCTTTAAGAAAATCAGTAAACTTAATGCAATTAAATGGCAAACATGAACCTGTGGCTCTGGATTGCTTAAAATCACCCCTGACTGTACCAGTGGGCATAGTGGGAGAAGTAAGGATGACTGGTCAGCATGATTCTTCTTGGGTGGTATTGCTGTTTCACATATCTGGCCCCACCCACTAAATGACAGTGGTTTTCCTTGCCCATCAATCATGGTGAAAACCAAAAATGTCCCACATATTTCTGAACACCCTTGGGAGGCAGAACTAGCCTTGTGGAGAATCTTGTTCTACACTGCAGATGTTTATTTTGAGTTCTGTATTTCACTGGGACTGTAATCTCTGTCATTATGCCTCCAGCAAAGGCTCAAGCCCTGCAATCGGAATCTAAGTCACATTAAAAAGGCAATTACTCTTCTAAAAACACTTCAATGGTACTGATCTGTACACACAAACTCTTTCCTCAAGATTAGCAATACTATGATTCCTTCCTTTACCCTTATTAGAAAAAGCAAGAATTGGGTGATATGTTAAGATTTTAATTAGTAATATGTGTTTTATTTGATGATTGCAACATTAGGAGAATGTATATAAAAATAGAAGACAAATAATTCTCTTGACCTACGGTCCCAACCATTTTTATTCTTTTATGGCAAATCGTTTATATTTTGAATACTGTTTTTTAAAAATATAATGTTTAAAACCAAATGAATTAGTAACCTAGGTTCATATACTAGTTCAGTCTGTGAATATTTTTTATTTTGTATTCAAATCCTTATTTTTCTTGTAATTTTATGTATTTGGTGAATAATAATACATTATATCAACATAATTACTAAGGAAATATTAAGACTGTCCTTCACATCTTTGGCAAAATGAAACAAAATTCTGACGAGCAACAAATACCTTTTCTAGCTTTGTTCTCCCTGAAGTCAGAGAGAAGGATGTGATCTTACCAATCATGCCCTGGAATTCCTTTGAGGGCTCACAGCAGATCCAATTATCCTAGAAATTCTGACAGATCAAGGACACAGGCAATGGTACAACTTGAAGCAAACTGTTCCAGTTAAAATCCTAAAACAGCCTATACCAAGGAAGGCGACTAATACTCTGTATTATAGATCTGTAAGTTCTACTTGTGTCTGTAAAATTAGCATTATGAAATGTATTTAACTTATAATAATACAGTCTATATGTTTAGCATGCTACTATTTATAAACTCCAGCTGTTGGATGGGATCTCACCAAGATAACAGGAATATACAAGCAGCTTAGTTCGCTATGATATGATGAAAACATTATTTTTTTTTTATGTGTTGATTGATTTTAGAGAGAATGAGAGACAGAGAGAGACAGAGAGACAGAGACTGGTTCTACTTATGCATTCATTGGTTGCTTCTTGTATGTGGCGGCCTGACAGGATAGAAGCCACAACCTTGCCATATTAGGATGATGCTCTAGCCAATTGAGCAACCCAGCCAGAGGAAATAATTTATAATTTAAAGATTGCAGTATGCTTAAGATAGGCAGAAAGGTTCCACAATATAGTCATCTACCTATTCATAACAGAAGAGAAAGACGAGATTAGAATTTGAAAAAGCAGATTAAAAAAATCAATCGTTTTGCTGGACAATGACTCTTGGAGTTGAGAAAATGAAATAGTTTTAAAATGAATGAGTAAGTGAATGAGGCAACAGAAAGATTAAATAAACATAGAAGAGGAAAATTCATCAGAAGAGTTATGATGTCAAAATGGCCATGTTATATTTGTTTATAATCTTAGCTATATGACAGAACTGGATAAAACTTACAATTTGATGGATAGTACATATATATCATCTTCAGATTGGAACAAAGGCAAAAAGATGTATAGGATCAGGTCACTTGCCTCAAAGAACATTTAGTAAATACCCGCTGAGTGTGTTTAGGTGCCAGGGAACTCAAAGGTAATAAGACATTGGCCCTAGCCTTAAGAATTAACAGTCTCATAGAGAAGACAGTCTTCTAAATAAAACACTAACAATTCAGTACTTCTACTGAAATAGAAGTACATATAACATGTTATGGGAACACAGGGTCAGCAATCTTTTTGCCAGTTATTCAGAAATAACTGATGCTTCTGTTTACATTAATATTTAGGTTCTACTAAATGGCAGCGATTTATGAAAGATTATAAAATTCAGTAAGTTTAATTGACTAGAAGATCAGTGCACATAAAGGCATTACACTGAAATATGATTCCTCAACTTAAAAAAAAAAACAATTACAAGTTTCTTTAAATTTCTCTAATATCTAACTGCTATAAAATGTATAGAAATAATTGATTGTAATAAAAGTTTTATTAAATGACACTATTGACTGTCAAATACTAGTAAGCCACTGAAGTGGTACTTTTGGGACAATAATGTCTGAAAGTACCATTCTTTCTTTCACATAAACTACAGAGGAGATTAATGTAAAAATTCACTCAGCTCCCTTGCCAGAGTACTCCCAGGTACATAGAGAGAACTAAACATGCATGACCAAGACAGTGGTAAAGAGATCAGGAAAAACCACTCAGTCCACCTTCAGCATTCTGCTCATTTCATGTCACCAGTGAATCCTTTCACTAGCCAGTGCACCTCCTAAAACAGAGTTCAAGCTTCACCTTGTTCAATGGGAAATGGACCCAGAATGCAACTTTCCCCAAAATCCTACGTGGCAAATACCACTTTCCCCCAAGCAGTAAAGGGTACAAAATTCTTAAAAGAATTGCTCGTAAAGCCTCCCCTGACATGAATCACCTAAAGAAGAAAAATCTATTTAATAAAGAAGATTGAAATGCCCTTTTTCTAGCTAAAAAACATTACCATCTAAGTCACCTGGACTACCTGAGCTGTTGTTGTATGCTTCTAAAACACTTTTATATCATTCCCTATTATCTGTGCATTCAATAAATATTCTTTAAATGCCTACAGGGCCCTAGGCCTGGTGATTACAATCTTCATAAGAGCCAAATAGTGAATATTTTAGGCTTTGCAAGTCAAGGAAATTATGTAGGTACTTATAAAATAATTTAAATATATAACCATTTAAAATGTAAAATCATTCTTAGCTCACAGAAAACCAAACAAAAACAGGCCATAATCTGATCATTTGAGTGCTAAATCACAGTCATATATCCAAACAAAACTAAGACAATTATGTTATTAAATTTAAATGAAAGATCTTTTGCACCAAGACTAATTTCTTCCAGTAAAACCTGTAAGAATGATCTAATGAAACTGTCCAATATCCACTGAAAACTTCTATTATTATTTACCTTCATTAGATATTTCAATAGCAATAGGAAATGCTCTGTACCTGTCAAGTTTAATTCAGTAGCCACAATGCAAGTGTCCACTAAGCATTTAAAATATGTCAAATGTGTCTGAAGAATGAAATTTTAAAATTTTATTAAATGCTAAATATTTTAAATTTGCATTTGAATAGCCATTTATGATCTCTTCATCAAGTGATTTCCTACCAGAAAGATGGGTGCATATGGCAAATACAACCTGATGCCATTTCACGTTATCAGCACTCCACCCTGGCAAATAGGTTTCTGGTTATCTGCCAAATCCTAATGAATTGCAGTAGAGGTCTCACAGGCTGTGTAGGCCAAGTCTGAATACAATGGGGAAGGGAGCCATGATTGATTAGCCATGCCTGCCATAAGATGGAGTTGGCATGCACCTTCACAAGGTATTTTAAGGCTCTTTAATACCACAGATTGCCATTTCACTTACATTTAGAGCACAAAAGTTCTGAATAAATGTGAAATTCTTGTATCTTACTGTACAGAGACTAACCTGATATCTAGAGTCCAGCTTTCTTGATCATTCTATTTCTCGTTTGTAAATTACTTAATTGGCATTCTGGTTCATTGACTAGTCTCTGGTGAGCTAGGTTACATAAATACCAACTGGGCAGTTGCATTCATTCTCGGTGCACTCACAAAGTCAATTTTGTTAGCAATACTGAACCACAGATTATGGTAAATGCACAAAGGTAAATCTTATGTGACCTCTTAGTAGCCAAACAGAAGGCTAGACTTTTCTGGGAAGAAAAGAACTTTATTGGACACTTCTTTTACACTTCAACAAAGACTAATTTTAATCCGTTTCATCATTTCCAATTTTAATAATTTTATTTCTTAATGTTTATTCACATTCTGCTGTTACCAGTCTTAATGTATAGTTATATATGAAAACTCGCACCATCTTTCACTTTGAAATTATAACCAATGAGAATATAGTTTGAGTCCACAGTTCTTTCATATCCTATGAATTCATCATCCTGTCAGCATAGCTTCTATCTTCACCTTCCTTTTGATGCCTGAATTTTTCTTTCCAAAACATACTCAGTCACACTGCATTTGTAACAGCATTTTTTTTTCTTTGCCCACACACCAGCCTAATTAAACCTATGTTTTCCAGTTTTACCTTTCGAACATTTGCCAACCGATTCATCATCAAGGACTCCTCTCGGTCATCGTCATCATCCAAGTCCAGCATCGGCATTCCAAAGGGGTCCATAATGCCACAGCACCTGGAGCCTTCATCTCTTGGATCAAAGGGGTCCACAATTATGGGCTCCGTTCCTTTTATTTCACAGCGACAGAAGGGGCAGCCCTGGCCATCAGACTCCTGAACAAACACATAAAATGTGCTGATTGGTCTTTGTTTAAATAAAACGGTACTTGGAGAAACCAAAGTTTTATAAGTATAAAACAAAGTTGCAAAAGAGTTTTTGGCAAGTCAGTGGGGGTAGGGGAAGCAGTAGTGAAATAGAACAGAAGGCCAAAATATATGATAAATGTACAGTATTTCTAATATCAAACTTTTACAGAAAAAAATTATTTTTTAAAAAAAGTTTGCTTTGCCAAAGAAAAGGAACCTAACCTAATTTTACTGAATCTTCACTGATAATTTTAATGTATCAAAACTTTAGTCCTGTAGAAATGAGAAGTTGAATCATGTCCCTTTTTAACAAAAGGCACCAATGCTAAACATTTTATAAAAAGTATTTTTTAACAAAAGTTCATTATAAATAAAATAATAGAAACAATCGGAATAATTCATTTTAAAATACATTCTGGAAAAATTCCTGTGCATTAAAAAAACTATGGCTAAACAGTGCCATTTTAATTGCCTGTTTTTTTCACCATTGATGTTTCTCTCTCTCCCTCTCCCTTCCTCTCTGAAATCAATAAAAATATATATAAAAAGGAAGATAGACGGTATACTATATTCACCACTGTATTTTTGTTTCTGCATTTTACCCTGAATTTAGTAGTGTTTCATTTAAGAAAAAGTAAAAATCATAAAATCATTTAAAGGCAGAAATGACATAAATTTGAACCATATTAGAGACAAGACATGCAAAGGAAGCTGACATCTTTAAAGAAACCATTTAGTACTTAATTCAAGACTGCCCCTTCCCCTGGTATGTGATAGATCCTCCCTTCCCCTAACTGATGGACAGAGAATAACATAGCCTGCACCTGCAGTCAGGACATTCCTGAACACCTAACCAGGCACCTTATATGGACTGTACATATTGAACCACCAATCAGCACCTGCCAAATACCCTAAGCCCCATCCCTTCCCTTTCCTCTCCTCAAAAGGCACCTTCACCCCTGCACATGTGCTCTTTCTCCCTCTGGAAGGTAGCCCAGCAGGGGTCTTCTCTTCTAACAAAGCCAGTGTCCTGGTACTCCGGCCCCTCTGTCTCATTTTTCAGTCTGATGGGAAACTGGTGATCTACCTGCCCTGCAGTGACACACTGACTAGCAGTGAAATAACTCTCATTCTCTCCTGGGACAATGACTGAACGACTCCTCTGTGGCAGATCCTGTGGTTGGTAGTTAGTTCTTTCCAAATTGTCACTCAGATAAGCGAACTGAAATCCACATTGCCACAGAAATGATCCAAGGAACACACACCGACAAAGACTCTTTGGGTTGGTGAATGAGAAGAACTTGCAACATTCCCTTATTTATCTAGGATTACGTAATTTTGGAAAGGAACCTAGAATGGTAAAAATAGTTGAAACAAAGTGGTAGGAAAAAAAATAGACATGCTAATACTTATTTCAGTTGTCTCAAAGCCCAGTGGACCTGAGTGAGCACATATAATGTTTATTTCCACACATGCTCAGGTGGGCTTCGAGGGAACTTAAATATTATTTGCTCCACATTTTATGAATGACAAAATTGAAAATATCTTACCCTGATATTTTCTAGCACAGGAATAAATATTTAAGAAAAACTAAACCTTTCAATAACAAGAACATTAAATTTAAGTACACATTCAATATATGTTGTCATCTTCATAAAATTCCCTTATTATAAAAGTGTGCTACTACTGGAATTTTTTCTTACAGATCTGCATAAAATAATTTCAAAAGGGTTGTTCTAATATATAAGAGCAAGATGTGAAAGAGCTGATGTTCCCATGTATTTGCTGTATGCAGCATGGAAAACAGTACTGGGACACTTTATTCATTTGTACATTGAAAAAAAACAACACTAGAGAAAGATTTAAACATATACAAAAGCAGAAAGTATAATGAATCCATATATGCCTATCACACAACTTCAACCATTACCAATTTCCCAATCCTCATTCACCTGCCCTTTTGTTTGCTCTTGGAACACTTTGAAGCATATTCATAAATGCATCTGTAAATGTTTTAGTCTGTATATATACAAATAGAAAATACTTTAAGGTCTAACTAGAATATAATTATTACTAAAAATTAGTCCACTCAATCTAAAAAAGTCATACTATCTTTAGTGCATTCCCAAGAATGTGTGAGCCACTATACTCAGCTCCAAAGGCTTCTTTTAGAACCCTCAAGGTCAATTTGCATGTTGTTTTGGTTAAACATGATTTACAGTTTTACATCTATTTCCAAACACAGGGTAACTACAAAGATTAAGTTTGGAAAGGGAAGGGCTAAAAGGCAGTAACAACTTGATGATAAAAGAAAAAGCCTGGGACCAGTTCATCTAAATCCCAATTTAGGTTTTACTTCATCTCTCCAACCTAAAATGCTACACAAGTCACTGACTTGTGTTAGAGAAGCTGTTTTATGTATATATCACAAAAGTTATCTTCTGTTCAGCTATATCTTTGTTGAGAGTTAATATTACTCACTAGATCAAAACAACAGCTGCAATGTACATCCTTTTAAATTTGCAAACAGATCACACTAAATGTGTCTCCCTAGTGGTATTTACTGTAATAGGACTTCACTCACCCTCTTTCTCTGTAAACTGACTACTGTCGTATGCAAATTAAGTTTCACCATAAATTCTCAAATGCCACTGTGGTGCTCTGCCCTGGTTTCTGTTAGATGGTTGACTGAATACCCATGATGGATGTCTTCCACAGGCATATAGTAACTCCTCAGCTTGGGCATCAATATTAAAATAATGTTTCTGTCAACATATACTTAGTGCAAGATCAAGGGGGATACATTAAAGAAAAAGAAAGACCAATAAATAACTCCTTTTCTACCTCCAACATATTAACGTTCTGAGAATGTTAAGAGGAAGTACTTGGGACTCCACCATTCTAATTGACTCAGTAGATTTCACTTCCTCAAATAAGAAATACCACCAAAACAAAAGATACAGAAGTTAGCGGAAGTACTAAGCTCATCTGAAATTTAACTATGTAATATGCTCACAATAAAGTAATTCAGATATATGCTAACCATTAATACTATAAATTAGGGATTTCCAACAGGGGTGCCACAAAAAATTTTAAAACATGCAATACCTAACTATTTATTATAGTCAGGGGCACTGACCTCTTTTCCCTTAGGCTGTCAAATAAAAAAAATGACAACAGCCAACACAAAAAGAGCCATCTGGTGTGAATGAATAAAAATTATACATGTTTTTTTGTTTGTTTGTTTGTTTGTTTTTGTCAGATCAGCAATATATATATATATATATATATATATATATATATATATATATGATGTGCTACAGAATTTTAGTAAATTAGTTTATGTATATCATGAGATGAAAAAGGTTGAAAATCACTGCTATAATTATATTAGGGGCCCAGTGCACGAAATTCGTGCACTGAGAGGGGGTTCCTCAGCCCAGCCTGACCACTCTCACATACTGGGAGCCCTCAGGATATGTCCTACTATTCCCCATTGGGAGCGGACCTAAGCCACAGTCTGGCCTCCCTTTGCAGATTGCGATCGGGCTGATCGGGGGAAGGCACTGCTGCCACCACTGCCATCACCCTGCTGCTGCAGCCACTACCAGTCACCATAGCTACTAAGGTATTTTCATCAACACGGACTCCAGTCCCTTCACTATGAAAAAATGACAACTTTCTTTAAGCATTTTCAAGATGTGTCTTTCATAGGATATGACATTTCTTTATTTGTTTTTCTTTTTATCCTCACCTGAGGATATGATTCCATTAAATTTTTTTCCCTTCCGTCTGATCCCAAGCTCAGCCCCTTCCCAAGCCTAAAGCCCAGGCTTTAGGCTTGGGAAGGGGTCCCCACCCTCCCTCGTACCTCCAAAGGCAATCTCAATCCCTTCCCAAGCATAAAGCCTCTGCCCGATGGTTGGCTGAGAGTGACCTGGGTGCCAAGGAGGTTCCCTGGACTCATGTATGTATGCAAATTAACTTCCATCTTTGTTGGGTTAATTTGCATACTCACTCTGATTGGCTGTGGGAGTAGTGGAGGTATGGTCAATTTAGATGTTTCTCTAATATTAGGTGAGATTAAATATAAATATAACTTTAGGTAACCTGAGAACAAGTCAACATTGACAAAAAATAGGAAAAAAATTTCCCTCCCAAATGTACCATCCAATTTAATAAAGAGGGAATATACTAATTGACCTTCATGCCGTTGAAAAGATGGTGATACCCACAGCCAATGAGGGAATATGCTAATTGAATGCCACATCCTCAAATATGGTGGTGCCCACAGCCAATAAGGAGGGAACATGCTAATTGACTGTCACACCCTTAGAGATGGTGGCACCCATAGCCACAAAACAAGATGGTGATGCCCAGTCCTCTCAGCCCCGCCAGGGCGGCAGGTGCACAGCCTGCCTCCAGAGTCCCCCAGTCTCCTCAGCTCCCCAACCCCTAGGGCCTGCCCCAGGCACAGGCAAGCCTCATATGGCAACTGCCCAGGCACTCAGGGCTGGCCTAAAGCTCAGGTAACCAGGGCTGGCCAACGCTTGCACTGCGAGCAGTGGCAGCAGCAGAGATGTGATGGGGGCATCGCCTAGCCCTGGTTACCGGGTCACCTCCCTCTCCTGAGGGCTTCCGGACTGTGAGAGTAGGCAGGATGGGCTGAGGGACCCCCCCCACTCCAGTGTATGAACTTTAATGCACTGGGCCTCTAGTTACTTAATAACATCTTAAATAAAAATCTTATTAAATGCCACCAAAATCATCTCATTATCGTCATATTAATTACCTTCCTTATCCTTTCTATTTTAAATATTGTTCACATGGATTTTATCTCTTCAATAATAACCTTTCATTTTTTTATAATAAATATTATAAGTAGTGCAATTTATTTTCTCTCAGGATAATCAGTTGAGGACAGATTTTAAGATCAAGCACTTCATATGGAGGATCTGAGAGGATAC